TTCTTCAACAGTGATGGGCAGATAACTCGAAGTGTGCTTGCTTGGGAGGACCGAGTACAGGGAGTCTCTGTGTCTCTGAGTCAGGGGCTCCTGGTGCAGGGCTCTCTCTGTCAGTAAGCTGTGCCTCAGGATGCCTTTTGTGGCAACCATTTTCCAAACCAGGACTCAGGAACCACTGAGGGCTTAGGGGTGCCTCCTCCTCTCTTCACTTGGGTTGGTGTGGTGTGCTGATGCTCTGGGTTGTATTCTTTTAAAATTATTATTATTCATTAAGTTTATTTGTTCATTTTAGATGTGCATTATGATCACATTCATCTTTGGAAATTTGTACCTGCACATGATGTATCTTGGTTCTTATTTTTTTCCCCATTCCCCTTCCTTCCCTCCACCCCTCCACCCCTCCCTATTTACAAAAGCTTTGCTTCCGTTTTTTTCCTTCTTTTCTCATTTTTTTCTTTCCTTTCTTTCCTTTCCCCCACCCCCTCCTAGTTGCCCTTCCCATTTGAACATTTTCTTCCTATTTCGCAATATCTTTTATACATTTTGGTCCTCATTTACACTTCCAGTTTATCACACCAGAGAAACAGTTTGATATTTACATATGTGTATCCTATTTTGCTTAAGAGTATGGTCTCAAGGTACATTCATTTAACTATAAATGTCTCTAGTTTATCTTTCTTTATGGCTGAGTAGTACTCCATTTTATTTTAAAAAAACACATCTTCTTTATCCTATCCCCAGTTGATGGGCATTTGGACTGTTTCCAAGATTTAGCTATTACAAATTGTGCTGCTATACACATGGGTATACATATGTTGCTGTGGTATGATACTTTAAATTCTTTTGGGAAGATACCAAGAAGGGGAATAGCTGGGTCAAATGGAACCACTAATTTTAGTTTTTTGAGGAGTCTGCACTGATTTCCACAGTGGTTGCACCAGTCTACACTCTTACCAACAGTGGAGAAGGGTTCCTTTTTCTCCACAGCCCCTCCAGTATTTGCTATTGATTGAGTTCTTGGTAGCAGTCATTCTTTCTGGGGTGAGGTGGAGTCTCAGCATTGTTTTAATTTGCATCTCATGAATGATCAGTGATGTTGAGCATTTTTTCATATGTTTATTTGCTGTTTCTACTCTTTCATCTGAGAAGAGTCTGTTCATTTCACATGTCCATTTCTAGATTAAGTCTTTAAATTTGGGAGGTCTGATTTTTTGAGTTCTTTATATTTTCTTGATGATAGTCCTTTGTCTGAGGAACAGGGGATAAAAATCTTTTCCTACCTTGTAGATTGTCTCTTCACTCTGTCGGTGGTTTCTTTTGTTGTGCAGAAGTTTTTATTAATAAGATGATATCCCAGTTTTGATTCTTTGTGCTAGTTCCCTTGCTACTAAGGTTTTATTCATAAAGCCTTTTCCTACACCAGTGTCTTCAAGTGTTCTACCTAACCTATCTTCTAGCAAGTAGGTTTAGTGTTTCTGTTTTAATATTTAGATCTTTGACCCATTTTGATTTTAGTTTAGTGCACGGTGAAAAATATGGGTCTAGTTTTAATCTTTGGCAAGTTGAAATCCAGTTTTTGCAGCACTATTTTTTGGGGGGGTACCAGGGATTGAATTCAGGACCTTGCACTTATGAGGCAGGCAGCAGAACCCCTGAGCTAAATCCTCAGCCCTCCAACACCATTTATTAAAGAGGCTATCTTTCCTCCAGTGAGTGTGTTTGGCTTCTTTGTCAAAGATGAGGTAGCTAATGTGACTGGAGTTGTTTGTGCTTCTTCTAATCTGTTCTATTGATCCTCTGGTCTGTTTGTTTGTTATTGTATTTATTTATTGCTAGGTACCATGCTGTTTTTATCACAGTAGCTTTATAATATAGTTCAAGTTTGGGATTGTGATACCCCCTTCCTTGTCTTTGTTGCCTAGAGTTGCCTTTGTTATTCTAGGTCTCTTGGTTCCAAATGAATTTTAGGATTGTTTTCTCTAATTCTGTGATATATGCTGTAGGAATTTGATCAAGATTGTATTAAATCTTTATAACAGTGTTGGTAATATGGCCATTTTCACTACATTGGTTCTTCCTACTCAAGAACAAGGGATGTCTTTCTATTTTCCAGCATCCTCTTTGATCTCTTTTTTTCAGAATGCTGTAGCTTTCAAAGTAGAGGTTGATTACTTCCTTTGTTAGATTGATTCCTAGGTATTTCATTTTTTTGGATGCTCTTGTGAAAGGAGATGTTTCTCCAGTTCTCTCTCAGTGAGTCTGTTATTTGTGTACAGGAATTCTATTGATATTTGAGTGTTGGCCTTGTATCCAGCTGTTCTACTGAATTTGGTTATTAAGTCTAGAAGTCTTTCGGTAGAGTTTTTGGGGTCTTCTACATAGAGTGTCCTGTCATCTGAAAATAATAAAAGTTTAATTTCTTCATTCTGTATCCTTATTCCTTTTCTTTCTCTTGTCTAATTGCTATAGCTAATGTGTCCAGAAGTATATTGAACAAGAGTGGTGATAGTGGACATCCTCGTGTTGTTCCTGATTTTAATGTGAAAGATTTCAGTTTTTGCCTGTTTAGTATGAAGTTGGCTGTTTGTCATAGATAGTTTTTATCAGATTGAGATAAGATCATCTATTTCAATTTTCTGTTGGGGTTTTTTTTTTTTTTTAATCATGAATAGGTTGGACTTTATCAAACCCTTTTTCAGCGTCTAATGAGATGATCATATGGTTTTTTCTCTGGCTCTGTTAATATGGTATATTACATTTATTGATTTATGTATGTTGAACCATCCCTGCCTTCCAGGGGTAAATACCACTTGGTTGGGGTGTATAATCTTGATGATCTTCTGCATTCTGTTTGCCAGTTCCTTACTGAGGATTTTTGCATCTATGTTCATTAGGGAGATTGGCCTGTAATTCTCTTTTTGGGTTGGATCTTTCCCTGCTTTTGGAATCAGGGTAATGCTTGCTCCCAGGAATGAATTTGGGAGTATTGCTTCCCTTTCAACTTCATTAAAGAGTTTGAGAAGTAGCTGCATTAGGTCTTCTCTAAATTTCTTGTAAATTTCTTGCATCAGTGAAGCCACCAGGACCTGGGCTTTTATTTGTTGGTAAGTTTTTAATTACATTTTCAATTTCATTGATTAATATTGGGTTGTTTAGAATTTTTGTATCTTCTTGGTAGTTCAACTTTGGTAATTCATATGTATCTAGGAATCTGTCCATTTTTTTCTGTGTTTTACATTTTATTGGACTAGAAGTTCTCAAAGTAGGTATTGATGAACCTCTGGATTTCTGCAGGATCTGTTGTAATTTCACCATTTTCATTCCTAATTGCATGGATTTGAACCTTTTCTTTCCTTTTTTTGATAAGTTTGGTTATGGATTTGTCAATTTTATTTAATCTTTTGAAGAGCCAACTCTTTGATTCATTGATTTTTTTTTTGTATCATTCTCTGAGTCTCCATTACTTTGATTTCTACTCTGATCTTTATAATTTTCTTTATAGTTTCTTCACTTGTATGAGCTTTGGGTTGGTCTTGCTCTTCTTTATCTAGGAGCTTGAGGTTCAATATTAGATTGTTTATTTGAATTGCCTCTTTTCCTAATACAGGGATTTGCTGCTGTGAATTTCCCTCATAAGACTTCTTCATAGTGTCCTATAAATTCTGGCATTATTGTTTAATTGTAGAAACTGTCTAATTTCTTCTTTAATTTCATCTGTGACTCATTCAGGAGGCTGTTTTTTAATTTCCATGTGTTTATGAAGTTCTTGTTTCTTTTGCTCTTGATCTCCAATTTCATTGCACTATGGTCTGATAATATGCATGGGATAACTTCAATTTCTTTGCATTTATTTAAGCATGTTCTATGAACTAGCATGTTGTCTCTTTTGGAAAATGTCCTGTGTGCAGCTGAGAAGAGTGTGTATTCTGATGTTGTGGGGTGGAACACTCTGTAGATATCTATTAAGTCCATTTGTTCAAAAGTTTGATTCAATTTTAGTATTTCATTGTTGACTTTTTTGTCTCGTTGATCTATTTGTGACAGTGGGATATTGAGGTCCCCCACTACAATTGTATTAGTGCTTATTTGATTTTTCATGTCTGTTAATACTTGTTTTATATAGTTGGGTTCACTAGTATTTGGTGCATATATTATTTATGCTTGTCATCTCTTCCTCTTGAATTGTTTCCTTTACAAGGATGTAGGAACCTTCTTTGTCTCTTAATTAGTCTTTGCTTGAAATCCACTTTGTCTGCAAATAGAATACCTACCCCTGCTTTTTTCCGGGTTCCTGTCCCATAGAATATTGCTTTCCATCCTTTGATTTTCAGTCCATGAATTTCTTTTTTAATTTTGTTTCTTGTATGCAGCATGTTGTTGGATATTGCTTCTTGATCCATTTTGCCAGTCTGTTTCTTTTGATTGGCTGAGACCATTAACATTGATGGATATAACTGATATCTATTGATCTGTCCTTGTCATGATATTTTCCTGTTGTTGTGTCTCTCTTTTTTAAATTTTCCCATTTAATTTCTTGCCTTGTCTGAAGGATTCATTCTATTAACATTCATAGAGTTGTAATCCTCACTGTCTCTTTTTAGGATATTCTTTAGAATATTTTGGAGTGCTGGCTTGGCATTCATTAAGTTCCTCAGGTGTTCTTTGTAATAGAAGTATCTTATTTCTTCATCAATTTTGAAAGATAATTTTGCAGAATACATCAATCTGGGTTGGAGGTGGTTTTCTTTTAGGCCTTGAAATACCTCACTCCAGGCTCTCCTTGACTTGAGGGTTTGTGTTGAGAAGTCTGCTGTGATTCTTACGGGCTTTCTTTTGTATGTGATTTATTTTTTTTCTCGAACAGCTTTTAGTATTTTGTTCTTGTGTTAGGCTTCTGGAATCTTGACTGTTACCTAACATGTCCTTTAGATTTTCCATAGTATGTGCTCTGTGCAGTAATTTATATGTCTCTATTTTCATCATGATCTTTCTTCCCTAAGGTTGCAGGGAGAGTAGCTGAAGAAAGGGGTGCAGTACTGGGCCACGAGGTGGGCTACTGCATCCGATTTGATGACTGTACCGACCCACTGGCTACAAGGATTAAGGTGAGGTGTGCAAGTTGCTTTTTGTAGTATGGATATGGATGAAGATTATTTTGGGGAAATTAAAAGCATGCTTCCCTCACATACTAAGGCCATGGTAGAAAATATAGGAAATCATACTGTCTCTCAGGGACTTTAGTCTGCTGGGAAGTACAGAGATCTTGTATAGAGTCCCTGAATGTTAACCTAGAACTGAATTTGAAAGTAAGATTTAGCCTTTGGCTTACATTATGAAGAGGTCGAAAGCCTGGGAGGTTGAAGGACTTACTTTGCTTACATTTATTCTCTCCCATTGATGATAGTACCAGAACTCGAAGTTGTCCTGCTTATGTGTGTTTTAGTTTTTTCTACTGACTTACATAGCTATCTAAATATAGAAGTGAGCCCGTAAAAGACTTAAAAACAGGGACAAATTGGCATAAATTAATACAGTATAGAATTCATAAATGATGCTTTCACTAGTTATAACTTTCCCTATTTTTACCTGATAATGGATTTTATCTGTGTGTTATTTGCTCTAATTGCTAAGATTAAAATAGTAAGTGTCAATAGTAATCAGCATATAATCAACTCAACAGGGTGTCTATTATTTACTGCAATACTGGAATCAAAGTCTAATTAGATAGTACAATAAAACAATAAATGAAGTGCTCTGATGAGATGAAGGTTGGTTATTAAAATCTCAGTTACCTTTCAGTTTACAGCAGAGGAAAATTGAAAATAATCAGACCAGCAAAATGAACAGTGTAGTGTAAAAGAATTTGTTTTATAAATTTTTGTGTTTGATACTTTTGACATATATTTTGTCGGCTAAAGAGAGTATCTGTCCCTACCATCAAATATATTTAAACAAGCTGATTTTCAGTGGATTATATAACTAAACGATTTTTTTTTTTTTTAGGAGGGGTACCGGGGATTGAAAGCAGGACCACCTTGTGCTTTTGAGGCAGGTGGTGCACCACTGGGCTAAATCCCCGGCCCTAAGTGATTCTCCTTGACTCCTTCCTGAGATGGTTTTGTGTTCTAATTGGTGATAACTTCAAGGCTTTCTGTTCTTGACTAGTTTATCATTTAGCTGTTTTCATTTTGACTTCTGTGCATATGTGTGGCAACTGGCACCAAGTCTGAGTAAATAATAGTGGAAATGCGTCCTGCTTTTAAAACAAGAAAACTAAAAATACTAAGAGCCATCATAGAAAGGATGGTTAGCCTTGTTAACATATACTGCATTTATTTTGGGGTGATGGGAAGAACATCCAGTTGTTACAGCATTTTTCAGAAACATTTAAAAAACATTCATTAATCCTAAATAATAATTGACATTCCTTGAGCACTCTCTGTGTGTTAGGTCCTGTGCTAAACCTTTACATATACTATCTCACTTAATTCTTGTGATAACTCTATGATGTAGATACATTTATTACCTCACTTTACAGGTGAGGAGTAAGAGAGGATGAGAATTTGCCTGCTTTTCACATAACAAGTCAGAGGTAGAGCAAGGCCATGGTAGAAAGTGCAGGAAATCATGCTACCCCTCAGGGAAGCACAGAGATCTTGCATAGAGTCCCTAAGTAAGATTTAGCCCTTGGTTTACATTATGAAGTGGTTGAGGACCTGGGAGGTTGAAGTAGTCAGCAGTTTGACTCCATAACCCATGTTCTTAGCCTTTACCTTGTCAAGTTCCCTAAAATAGTATCAATGAAAGTTTAAGTTAACTTTAAGAGCTGTAGTGTTAGTATCTGGGGTGTTTAAATAATGATGATCTCAAATATTCCTTGGGGTAGACACAGGCTTGTTTTCATTCATCTTTAGTACTAGAGGTTCAGCCCAGAAGAATTGAGACTTAGTTGATATTCATAAAATAAATGTTGATGAAGTCCTGCTAAAAGATTTTCCAATCTCACTTGAGGATACCATGTTTGAAATTATTTATTTATTTATTTTTAGTACCTGGGATCGAACTCAAGACCTTGTGCTTGCCAGGCAGGCGTGGCACCACTTAGCTAAATCCTTGGCCCTGAAATAGTTTATTTTTGTGTATATGAACAATTTCATTACTTGGTAACAAAAATATTGGGTCATTTCTTCACAGTCTTATGGAAATTGTTTTGCACATGTGTTGGTGAAGAGGTCATACTTTAACTTTACAAAGAGTTCCCCTTGAACTTAAAAATATTGATATACAATATAAATGAATTATTTCTAAAACTTTGTATTTTATTTTTTAGTTTCTTACTGATGGAATGCTGGTTAGGGAAATGATGCTTGATCCATTGTTAACGAAATATAGGTAAGTGTTTTTCCTATGATAACTTCCTGAAGGTTTCAAAGTCCACAAATAGATTTAGAAGCAGTTATGTGACTAGGTGAAATTCTCATCTCTGCTCAGTTGGCCCAGAACTTTTCTATTGACCTTTGCTGTTTCAACCCTTGACGTTTTTCTCAGAATTTAGAGATCAGGTCCCTGCAGACAGCTAACAGTGGACACCTGAAGTAGACAAATGTGAATGAATGAAAATCCCTGTCATCATTCAAGCAGCCTCTGTCCCATCTCAGGATAGATAGTGACTGCAGAGTCATAGCATGGCAGAGAACTAACTGGGCAGTGTTTTGTGAATGCATTACACAAAGTCTAAATAATTATTTCTCACTTTCTCCCTCTCTGAGTCTTTGTCTATCACACCCAATGTTAAGGTTGTATCTCAAGTCTGTAGTATTCTGAAAGAGGATGTCCCATTTGACCCCCTGATACATGTGACCAACCTGACACTTTGTCTCTATAGCATAACAGTCTTAAGGTAGTTGGACTTTGTTATGATGTTTATCTGTTCTGTGGTGTTATGGGTTAATATTGCTATTGAAAATCAGCTGTTAAATCCTATTGGAATCCAGTGTGGGTGGTGAAGCTTTTTTTTTTTGGGTTCCAGGGATTGAACTCAATCCTTGTACTTACAAGGCAGGTGATGGAACCACTGATTTAAATCCCCAGCCCTAAAGCATTTTAAAGATAGCAGTAAATCACCATTTTTTAAACCAAGATGAGTTGACGTCAACATTTTTATTAGCCTAAGAATTACCTCACTGTTAAGAATGACTACTTTTCTTTCGATTTGAGGTGATTGTATGAAAGCTCAGTACTCAGAGGTGCTTTGGGATGGGACTGTGTAGGGTGGTTGCTGTGGTGCTCACAGGGAGTGTCCTCGTTCTTAGTGTCATCATGTTGGATGAAGCCCACGAGAGGACCTTGTACACCGACATTGCCATTGGCTTGCTAAAGAAGGTATGACTCCACTGCCAGAGGTTCTTGTTTTGCTTTGTTTTGGGGGTGGGGATTTGAGTCAGGGTCGCACTATGTAGTTAAGGCTGGCCTTGAACTCAGAGTGATCCTCCTGCTTCTACCTCCCGGGTGCTGGGATTAGATGTGCACCACTGCACCCAGCTAGAGTTTTGTATTTGTGTCTCTGTATTTTACTGTCTGATTCAGCAAATAACCATAGCAGTTTGGAAAATCTAACAAGGTACTAAGGAAAAAAAAAGAGTCATCTGTCATCTTACCCATCCAGAAATAAAATCACTCTTAGAACACTGATGTGTTCTTTTCTATGTGTACATGCATCTGTTTTGGCCCAGTGGGTATTGGATTGTATGTGGTAATTTGTGTTTTGTACATTTGTTTTCACATTATGTTAAGATCATTTCTTTGTGTCATTAAATATTCTTTGAAGACATTATTTTTAATAACTACATAATCACTTGTCTCTGCCATAAGGTATTTAGTTCTTCTACTGTTAGGTATTTATATGGCCTTCAGATTTTAAATACTGCAAGTGCTTTTGTAGTGAGCACCTGTAATTAAGTATGTTGTGTTTTTGTTTCTTTGTTTTTTCTTTTTATGTTTTTCTTAAGGTTTCAAACATACCCCAGAATGGCGAGAGGATTATAATGAACTCCATGCCCATTATCTGGCTGCCACAATTACAGCTCATGGCTAATTTTGTTTTATCCTTATTGCTACACTCTCTATCCCTATTCCTGACTGTTGTTTTTGGACAAATTCCCAGTGACAGAGTAGAAAGCAGTGGTATTAGTAATTAAAATCACAGGTCCTGGATCACACTGCCTGGGTACAAATTCTTTGGTGATTTTACTTATCTTCAACCTGAGGTTAGGAGTCTCTATTGCTGTGCTAGGACACTGGGTATATGGCAGCCACTGTCCATCTGTGGCTATGTATGTTTAATTTTTTTTCTTTTTTATTGAGTTTATTGGTACTTTTAAAGTACACAGTACAGTTACATTCATCACTGGGATCTCGTACCTTTATATGAATGTTTAATTAATTAAAGTAGGTAGAATAAAAATTTAAAAATTCAGTTCCATGTTCACACTGGCTTTTTTAAAGGTCTTTGTAGCTATGTGTGGTGAGTGGTCATTACCGTGTGGATAAGGAGCCTCTTCATCACTGAGGAGAGTTCTGTTGAACAAAGCTACCCTGCATCATCCTTTGGTATGTGGCTTAGATAATGTAAAACTCTTAGGGTGGCATCACAACTAGACCATGAGGTGTGTTTGTGAAAATAAGAAAGAAACACACATGCTAGAAGCCTGTCACAGCTGTCGGGGATGTGGTCTGGATTTCAGATGCTCCTGACCTCCTAACCTAGGCATCTTTGTGCAGTGCATATGCTATCTGACTGTGCACAGGGGCTGTGGAGTAGTGTATGACTTGGGGTATTTAGATGCTAGTATTATCGTTACTTGCGTTATTGTTTTGTTACTGGCAAAAGATGAGATTTTTTGATACTTGTGAGAAATTTTCTTACCAGGTTATTGCTTTCTCAGAGACAGTCATGAGGGCCTGTTTCATATCTTTAACAAACTGAATATTAGCATTGGAAAATAAATCCTTGGGATGTGATTGGTGAAGAATAAATCCTCTTTGTTGTTACATATTTTGCTAAAGTTTATTTGATGATTTCTCCAGTGTCTGTTGATTATCTTTCTTTGAAAAAACTGTTAATATCTATATTGCTGTTTTAGTGCTATTATTTATTTGCTTTTAATATACTTTTTTTTGGGTACACAAAAGCACGTTACCCTTGGTTTTGCTTTAATTCATTACTTTAAAAAATATTTCTTGTAGAGGTACAAGATCCCAACAATGAATGTAACTGTACTGTATCCCTAAAATGTACCAATAAACTCAATTAAAGCTGAAAAAAAATATTTCTGTCATTGTGTTTGTGAATCACACTGAATTTTATAAGGAGGTTATCTTAGAAAGCATTTTTGCTTCTTTCTTTGGTATTACAATTTTGTTTTATTGGTACGTGTTTGCAGTACATAATGAGCACATTCTGTATGGGGAAAGTTCATAAGACATCTTAATTCTTTTTTCATCTTCCTTCCCTCCATCTCTTGAGCACTTTCCCATCTGTCAAAGATATATCTCTCTATTTCCTATTGTCTTTTATTTTTTTTTGTTTGTATTGTGGTTTTTTCTTTTTTTTTTTGGTACCAGGGATCAAACTCAGGCTTGTGCTTGCAAGGCAGGCAGTGGAACCACTGAGCTAAATCCCTGGTCCCTGGGTTTTTCTTTTCTTTTTTTTTTATTTTGGTACTGGGGATCGAACTTGGAACCTTGCACTTGCAAGTCAGGTGGCAAAACCAATGAGCTAAATCCCTGGCCACCCTGGGTTTTTCTTATAAGAGAAAGAAAGCATGGAATATTTAAGTTCATGTGTTTGATTTATTTCACTTAGCATTATGGCCATAAGGTGCATCCATTTTCCTACAGATAACTCAAGTTTATCCTTTATGGCAAAGAAGTACTTTATTGTGTGTAAATACCACATTTTTTTTACCATTCATTTATTAATGGACATATAGGCTGCTTCCAAGATTTAAATTGCTCTAAGCATAGGTATGCATGTGTCATTGTAATATGATATCTTAAGTCTTGGAAAGATACCTAAAAAGGGATTAGCTGGGTTGAATGGATAATGTATTTTTTTATACTTTTGACCATGTGTGTATACATAGATTCATACTATCCCAAAATTTGTCAGGGAAAAATGGTTTCATTCTCAGCTAATTCATATTCAGATTTTAAAGTCTATTTAGATGTTGTATAAAGTTCTTGTTAGCTTTGTTGTTGTTGGAGACAGAATCTTACTGTGTAGTCCAGGCTGTCCTTGAACTCGGAGTCCTCTTTCTCAGTCTGCCAAGTGCTGGGATTACAGGCATGTGTCCCTTGACCCAGCTGTATTAACTTTCATTTTAGAAAATTTCATACAATTGCAAAATTGGGATAGTATGATCTCACTTTTACTTGTGACTTTAGCAATTACTGATTTGTGGTCATTGTTTCAATTGATAAGGTCCCCCTCCCAATGTACACACTGTACTATTTTGAAGTAAATTTCAGATCTCAAATTATTTCATCTATAAACATTATAGTGTTATCATTGTTTCTTAATGCCTTCTTTGATAGATTCAGAAAAAGCGGGGAGACCTTCGACTTATTGTAGCTTCAGCTACTCTGGATGCAGAGGTAAAAGCAAAAGCATTTTTCTTCCTACTTTTCCTGTGTGAACATGGAAATTATTGGGCATATCTTTGATAAGTGACCTGTAGCAAGAGGTCATCTTTGGCAGAATGGCCTGCCATCCTTCTAGGGCCATCTGCTGTCCTAGATTCCACATGATCACAGGATCCTCCTTTTCAACTTGTGGGTGGAAATTAGCCTATAATTAAACAAGTTCATGGTTACCTACTTGTCTCGTTTCTCTGCATGCTACTTCTCTCCCACATAGGCAGCTTCTTTTCATTACTTTTTTTGGTGTGATACTGTATTTCTTGAATTTATGATGATAGTATAAATATATTTAGATGCTTTTGTACAATTGAAGTTTACCCTGTACATACAGTTATTTCATTGTTAAAATTTATTATGATGTTTACATTGTTTTTCTCTCTTGACGACCATTATTTTAGTTCAAACCCTGGTTCATCTCAATAAATATTTTTGGCCACTTGTTATTTATGTATTTTAAGCACTGTACTAGCTCTGGGTGATTCCTACACCCCAGACTCCTGGAGGTAAGCAGGCACACAAATAGATGTTTACTCTTTAGTGTGTTTAAGGTGCTAAGGCAGCCAAAGAGAGAGCTCTTAACCCCAGTTTGCTAGGGAGTCCAGAAACTTTCTCTAAGCAGGTGACATCCATGATTGGCTTTTTCTGAAAGGTGCACAATACCTTTCCAGAGGGACAGAGGTGGGAAGAGCTCCCTAAGCATGCTCAGAACCACAATAGTGAGAAACTGAGTTCAAGGTGCTTCAGGTCCTGCCTTGCTTGCCAGGCCTCCAAAGCTGATTTATCCCCTGTCAACAGCTCTGACTTCATCTCTTTCCACTCTCTGCAGTGCTCCCTCCATTCTAGCCATACTGATCTCCTTGCTGTTCCATAGAAAGAATCAACCACATTTCTGTTCTGGAGGTGGAGTAGGGCTACTTTCTAGACCATTTCCCCTACAGATAGCCTTATGGCTCTCCCATCATTTCATTGCAGTACTGGTCAGACTGTCTCCTTATCAAAAACTGCCCCTATTGCTCTCTGTCTTCTTCGGCTGAATTTCTGTGTTTGTGCTTAGCACTTGGCACATCCTAACTTCATATGCATTATCCAAGTGTTTGTTTATTTGTCTCTTATCACTAAAATGTAAGCTCTGTGAAGTTTTGGACTTTGTCTTACTCATGTTTTTATCCCTGCTCTGTGCCTGGCACTGAGTAGGTACCTGGATTGAATATATTTTAATTAAACAAGAATATGAAGAATGCAGTAGGAGTTCTATGGTAGAAATGCTTATAGCCAGAGGAGGGTGGATTCCATTGTGCACCTGGTTGGGAGCCATGGAGGGCAGTGACTTCATCATATTTGAGTTCTAGAAAGATCATTCTGTGTGTTGTATAAAAGACTCAATAGCAGAAGTGAAGACATCAGCCAGGAGGCCACTTCTGTAATACAGATGAGATGTGAAGAAGGTCTGGCCCCTGGCTTCTCTTCTCTTGGTCTTCTTGAGGCTTCAGGAAGTTAATGCAAACAACTTGGATAGATTAGAAGAAGCTCAGGGCCGGGGATTTAGCTCAGAGGTTCAGTGGCTGTTCGATCCCCGGTACCAAAAAAAAAAAAAAAAAAAAAAAAAAAAGAAGCAGCAGCAGCAGCTCAGTACGATTAAGAGAGATATCTGCGTGTGTACCCAGGCTATTTTCTTACACTTTTTCACAGCCTGTTTTAGGGCTGGCTGTGAGAGCTTTTGAATTAGAGCTCCTGTTACCTTCATTAGTGGGTTCTCATCTCCTTCTTCATGGTGTCTGCTGGAATCCTGCTATGAGGACCGTCCTTGACTTCACCTCTAATTCCCTTCTCCATGACAAAGTTGCACAGACCATCTCTGTTTTACCTCTGATCTTCACTTCTTTCTCTCTCCTTAAAAAATTCTCCATTATATTTAAAAATTGCTCCAAACAGGTTTTGTTGCAATGAAGACTATAATGTCCAAGTCTTTTCTTAAAACCATTGCTAATTAATATTTACTAATTGATCACAATTGCCTTTTGTTCTCTTTTGGTGAGGCATAAAGATTTAAAACATAGCCTCTTTCAGTATGATGCAGTTCATGTTCTGCAAGTGTCTTGACTTTTGTTTGTTTTTTAAACAAACATTTTGGTTTTGGTTTTTTGAGACAGGGTCTCACTATGTAGTTGAGACTGACCTGGAACTCACTATGTAGCCCAGGCTGGTCTCGAACTCACAGTGATCCTCCTGCCTCAGCCTCCTGAGTGCTGGGATTACTGGAGTGCGCCACCACGCCCTGCTTAAACAAACATTTTGGGAAGGCAGAATGTAGGAGGTTTGTTATACCTCAGTAGGTGGTGCTGCAGGGCATGCTGGGACTTCATCAGCACTCAGCTTGGCCTGTGGGGAGGTAAAGTCCTTCATTCCATCCTTACCTGAGAATCAGTGTGTGGATCTGTCCTGGGTGAGGGTGTGGGATGGATAGGTCCATGTGGGTGTGGTATGTGAGTTCATACTTGAGAGTAAGAGGGCGAGTAAGAGAATATAACTGGGCTGAAGAAGGCAAGAGTGAGGAGCGTTGTGTAGGAGTGGAAGGAGAAGGGTATGGTTTAAGTAGGAGTTTCATCTGGAGGCCCAGGGGTGCCCAGAACCCATACCTGACCCCAGCTGCTGGGTCTGTGGATGGCAGACTTAACTCCAAACTTCCTAGAGGGAAAGGGCTCCTGGTTTCACTCGGGCTGGGTACCACGCATACAGATGTCGATATCAGTGACTGCAAGCAGGAGGTGGAGACAAGCAGGGTGTGATGGGGGCTGATCAAATAATTACCTAGATTGATTAAGCTGCTCTGTTACTGCAAGCTCAATGAAGTGAGCAATTACACACAAGAGCAGATGTAATTACAGAATATTTCTTGACCATTGTTTCTTGTGGTTCTGTTTTTCTTATTTGCTCTTATCCAGATGGCAGAGAATATGGTTGCTGACAATTCCCAGTCTTTTGTCCCAGGTCCAACTACTTGGATGGAAACTAATTTATCTCCAGATTCCTGGAGTGGGAACCTGGGGTCAGCTTGCCAACCTGGGTCAATCTGCGTGGACCAGCGGCTGCTGGCTGAGGGTGGGTGTGATGAGTAGACTTTCTTCTACTCTATTCATTCAGGGAGGAGCAGCTACCAGGGCAGGAAACCATGGTGAGGTGGAAGACAGCCCACATCACTTACACTGCAATGCACAGACTGTGCTGTTCCTTTGTATTTTATGTTTCTCACTGTGTGTCTGTGTCATGCCTCCACCTGTGAGCCCCACTCAGACTCTTCTTTTCCCTGTGTGTGGAACTCATTTCACTATCGCATTTTCTTGATTCTGCCTTAAGATTCATATACTGTTGATACTATATCGTTTGTTTTTATTTTTATTTTATATTTCCAAATGAAGATGAACGATAAAGATACCAAATATAAGGATCCTGTGCCTTTGCAGTATACACTGCATTGTTTTTTGTGAAAGAGTAACTCCCTATCTCTGCACATCAGCACCATGTATTCTTAAGCAGCTGAGATGTAGCCACCCACTCCAACATCAGCAAGGCATCACCTCTCTTCCCATTCTCCATGCCTGCTTGGTAACATGTAGCTCTGACCATTGAGCCCTTCCTGAAGGGCTCTGCCTGCAGCTTATGGGGTCCTGCCATCTTCCCTCCCCTGCCTCCTTGATGGTGCATTCTCGGCGCCTTTTATAGCTGCCCTTCCTCCTTGAAGCTGCCCACCACTGTGACCTCAGGTCAGCTTTGTGCTTGTAGCAGCCTTGATTGTGCTCCTGTGTCCCAGCCTTTGCTGTCCATGTGCTGACTAGTCAGAGACCACCAAAACTCATAGCTGTGACTCTCAGGTTCTGTCTCAGCTCCTTTCTCATGCTCATAGTCATTCGGGCCCAAGACTTCCACCACCGATTTAGGAAGATTTCACCCCTGATTAAGAAGTAGTTCTATTCCTCTCACACAGACGTGTGCACAAGCTCACTGATTGTCAGGTCCTGTCCTGGCAGCTGTGCCTCTGGAATGCTTTGCTTGAATCCATGCTCTCATCCTCTCCCCTGAGCTGTTAATAGTTCCCTTAATTAGTCCACTTGCCTATAGTTTCTCATTTCTGCTGTCTCCAGAATGGCCACCTGAGTCCAGTGTCTAGTACTATATCTGATAATATCAAGCCCATCCTTACTTCCCTAGTCTTGCACATCATAGCATGGCGTTTGGGCCCTGTCAGATACTTGCAGTCCCTTGCTGAAACCTGTTGTAGGAGAGACCTGTGCTGTGGACTCTCAAACATACTTTGCTTGAACCTTGCAACAACATTGCAGTTTATCCATTTTATAGGCAAGAGATAATTTAAAGGTGGGCAGCCTGCTTAGATGGTGGCCTCTCACCTGTCAGGGCCGTCTTTATGTCTTAGCCCACGTCCTGAGCCAGTAGTAACCTTCTTCATCTTTTAGGACTCAGTCAAGGAAGAGAGCTGCCTCCCTGAAGCCTTCCCTGCAAGCAGTTGACTGTTCTCTCAGACTATAAATTACAGTTCCTTTGTGGTTGGATAGGCATTCTTTAGGTAATCTTGTGATAAGTTTTTTGCATATCTGCCTTCTCTGGACTATTTATTTTTTGTTTTGTTTTGAGGCTTTTTTGAGACAGGATCTCTCTGTAGTTTAGGATGGCCTTGTACTCACTAGGTAGCCCAGACAGGCCTGCAATGAGTGGTGATCTTCCTTTCTCAGCCTCCTGAGTGCTGGGATTATAGATGTGCCCCCCCCACCTGTTTATTTTTTAGCGGGTGGGGTGGGGAATCTATTTTCATTCGTGCCTATGCTCTGCATGTTATAGGGGTTCAGGAGCACTGAAGTGACTTGAAGGAAATTGACCCGAAGGGAAAATGAAAGGTGGTACTGTGTGGTGCCCTTTCTTGGTGTGAGACACTTAGATGTCTATGTTGCTTCTTGCCTGACACAGCCTTGGGTGAATGTGTAGCTTGCCAGTGTATTGTTAAATCCAGTGGGTTCTTTTGGAAATTCTGCCATGCCTGTTCACTTTTGCTTGCTGCCATTCACAGTGCTTTTGGGATTTAGCATTCCTAGAAGCAAGGATAGGCATGTTTTGTAAACAGCATATAGGGAAATAAAAGTAAAGCCTTGCAATTACATAGTCAGACCTTAGGGGGTCAGAGATTTTGCTCAGTGGTGCCGCTATCTGCCTCGTAAGCACAAGGACCCAGGTTCCATTCCTGGTACCAAAAACCAACCAACCAAACAAACAAAAACTGTTACATAGCCAGACCTTAGGGAAAGTGGAATAGCTAGGGAGTAATGGTCATTCAGAATCAAATAACAGAGCACTCCCCCAAACTGGATATCTGTGTCCTTTCAGCATCCGGCACCAGTAGCTTCCTGTCTAGTGTAAAGTTACCTGCCAGTGTAGTTACTCAGTCCCTCAGTTCTTCTGTCAGTTTCCCGTATATCTTGGGGACACTCTCTAGTAGGGGATGTTTAGTGGTGTCTCCTGCTGTCATCAGCCAGAGCTTTCAGCCCTGACCTATGCTGCAAGCCTGGTGCCCAAGTGCCATTGAGTAGGATGTGACCATCATTTTGATAGAAATTGCCGTGAACCACTTCTCCCAACAGGGTACTATGGAAGTGTCAGGGAAGGATATGATGGGTGACCTTCCTCGGGCAGAGCATTGTGTGAACTTCTGCAGGGCATGTAAGGTGGAGGAAGCACCTTCTCTCAAATCTTTAGGGAAAAATACCTGCTGTTCGCAGAAGTAAAAGTTTTCTTTATAAATAGACAGTCTTGTTGGATTGGATCTATGCCTTCTACATTAGAGGTACACATCCATCTGATTCAACCTGTATTAAACTTGAATCACACCGTTGATCTAATTTTTAGTTAAATAAAATAGTATAAGAATAAAATAAGTAATACATTTACATGTTAACTGAGATGTGTCACTGACTGTAGTTTTGAAATATAATCTTTATTATTTTTATCAAACTTTTAGTGGGTCTATCATTGAAATATGCTTCCCCATAATGTCAATAAGAAAAACAAATTTTAAAAATTGTTTTGCAATGTATAATTGGTGTTAAATGTATCCAATCCCTGTTATCCACCTCTTCTCTTCTAGTTTTATATTTTTTCATTGCATGACATACTGTGAACCTTTTTTTGTGTGTGTGAAAGAGAAAGAAATAAATAAATGATTGTTTTTTTTTTTTTTTTTTTTTTAGAAATTTCGGGATTTCTTTAATCAGAATGAAACCAGTGACCCAACCAGAGATACATGTGTGATCCTTACAGTGGAAGGGCGAACATTTCCGGTGGATATCTTTTATCTACAAAGGTTTGATGGTGCTTGATTCTTGATGATGGTGATTAGAAACCTGGGGTTATGGTGTGGAATGACAGAGAAGTGCACCTGCTCGCAGCTCAGGGTGTTGAGGAGCATGTTGGCATCTCCTGCCATCAACAGAATGTTCTGAAACTGTGCTCAACACCATTGCTGCATTTATTTTAAACTCTTGACAGAAGCATGCAAGTTTGTATGAATTTGTGGTCAGTAACTCAGTTGGAAAGAGCAAAGTGGTGAAAGGTTGAAAGGGGGGAGGGGCTCGAAAGTGCTGAACTTGGGTGTCCAAGGATGCCCACTAGGGAGGATAGTATTGGTGATTTGAGTCATTTTGCTCTCAGCTCTCTGTATCTTAGCGAGAAGGCCTGGTTGGTACTTTTCAGAGAAGCCCTTTGGGGCAAGAAAGGGGCTAATCTTATTCCCGTAGGTGAACAAAGATCAAGGCCAGGTGCAGTGGCTGATAAATCCAAAGCTGTGAAGCTGACTTCTGAGTTGCCTTAGCCTGCAGAGCATGTCTGCCAGCTCTGTTCACCCAACTTGTTTGTGTTGCCCATGGCCAGGAGGGAAAATGGGCTGGGAAGAGGTGAACCTCAGCACTGGCACCACAACCCTAGTTTCCTGGCCTGGCATCTTTGCATGCATAAATAGCACATCTATGTATATATGGATATGTAATCTTTATTTTATTTTGCAAATATAGGTATAAATCTTAGCAATTATGGATTATTTTTTAATGCTTTTTAAAAAAAGAAGAAAATAATGAATATTTATTATACTTGTATATATGCTAATTACCTGCTGGGCAAGCCCAAACTAACTTGAGGTCTCACTGTGAGATTGTTAGAGTAATTGACTTCTAATTAATGAGGATATTCCAATGATAAATTTATCTCATATATCTTTTCAGTCCTGTTCCAGATTATATCAAATCAACTGTGGAAACTGTGGTGAAAATTCACCAGACAGAGGGAGATGGAGACATATTAGCTTTCCTTACTGGCCAGGTAATTCCTTTGGACTTCTGTGATGAACAGACATGTTACAGCAGCACTTGTTCCTTTGCCTCTGGTTAAATATTATTCCAGAGTGGGACATCTGATTAAAATTCATGAATCTGACCCAAATTAAAATATTGATTCCAACTTTTACTGTCAGTGTGATAAAATGACATTGCTTCAGAATTAATAGAGTGCTATTACTTAGACATTTATTTCATATTTGTTCTATTTTATATTTACTTAACTGTATAAAAAAATGTTGGGTTTGATGTCATTCATTTAACAACTGGATTGTCCAGAAGTCGATTAGTTTCTCCCTGTTCAATCTGAAGAGGCTAAACTATATTTTAAATTTATCAGCTGATTCCAAAATAAATTAGATAGTTGAGCCATTGGGCTATTTTGTTTGCTTACATTGAGTAGTACATTAGATGCATTTTGCTGTCTGCTTATTGCTGCTGCTGCAAACCCCATGTCCCGTGACATCTTTATAGCTCATTCTGAGGGTGGTAAGTGGCCATGTTACTGGAAAGACAACTAAATAAACCCAAGTGCTGCCTCAAGGTTATAACACTGTTCAGAATTACCCTCTTCCAACTGTAATCTTTTCCACTGCCAAATATTTTCTGTGCTTGGTCTTTTCTGGGGAAAGCTTATAATGATTTTATTGGCTACAACTTGTCCATGTGCATAACAAGGCTTTGTTTGCTGTAGTACATATAAACTGAGTAAACTAGTCACTGTAAAAAAAGTTATTGATAATTCTGTTACCTGCAGATAGTTTAGTTTTAGTAATTAATGTTACAGTTAGACATTTTCATTCCTTTGGCACAGTAGCATCTGATTAAATATTATCCTAGAGTGGGACATCTGATTAAAGTTCATGAATCTGACCCAAATTAAAATCCTGATCCCAACTCTTATTATCTCAGTGGATAAAATGACATGCCTCAGATTGATCTTCATTTCTTGGGTTCCTGGTTCAATGTTTAGGAAGAAGTAGAAACTGTTGTGTCTATGCTGATTGAGCAGGCCCGGGCACTGGCTCGCACTGGGATGAAGAAACACCTCAGGGTTCTCCCAATGTATGCAGGACTACCTTCCTTTGAACAAATGAAGGTGTTTGAAAGGGTATCACGCAGTGTGAGGAAGGTAAGACTATCCTGCTAACAAAGGGTGTTTCCAGCCATTTATAATCATATTGGTGCCCCTTTAGCATGCACTGAAAAGATTTTTTTTTTAAATGAAGCTAAGCTTGCAAAATAGGAATCTTTTTTGTAGAATTTCAGGCCCATGTTTCTGTGTAGTAGATCTTAAAAGCATACAGTAAATAATGTATTGTGACAATTTCTAAACCTGCCCCAAAGAAGGTTAATTTAGAGCAGGTGGCAGGTGACTTCTGTTTGCTTCTGTTCCTGCCTGTCTTATATTTCTCATGATGTGATACTACCTTGGCTTAAAGGACTGCCTTGGTGATTTGTGGTCAGTCAGGAACAATAGATAAGTTACTACCAATGATTTCTGAATCATTTGTTATGAGTATCAGTTTGCCTGTAGAGCCAAGTTTAAATCAATTAATTCAAGGTGTGGCTTAGAAATATTTAACCTTGAAATTGGGGTGGGGAAGGGTGTGATGGGAAGAAACACGGTTAGAAGGAGCCATCTGTCAGCTAGCCTCACTCCTGCTCCTGTCCCCTAGGGCTTTTCTGTTCTCTTCATTCAGTTAGATTGGGAGTTCACAGTAGGTGGCAGAGAGTAAAATCGGTGAGGGCTGTACTGAGAAGCCATTCCCAGTTTTGGGCCACTTGGAAGAGGGTACCCACTGGCTTGGTCATTGGGACGGGGCACAGTCAAACACGAATTGCAGCCTGCCCCTTAGGAGACCTGGATTTCACCCCAGAGTTTCTGTGTGCTCCAGGATAAATTACTTAACCTCAAGTCTTGATTTTTGTAGTTGTAAAACTTAAATAGTAACAACTTTTAGATAGATGGTTTTATAATATAAAACCTTAGCTCTCTGCCATATAAACATGTTCAGGAGATTTTATGAAAAAAGTTCTGTTATTTATTTATTTATATTTTCTATATCCTTTCACTTAAAACCCTCCAGTAGCAGCAGCACCCAGTGTATTTGGAGTAAAATACAAATACTTCAGAGTGGCCCACAGACTGCACTTGAGCTGGGCCTCATGCCAGTCCTTCGGCTCATCTCATACGTATTTTGTATGATGGCTGCACAGGTGATTTCTTCTTTTCCTTGAGCGGTAGCTTCTGCTTAGATCTCTGGCTTGCTGTTACTTAGGTCTCAGTTCATAGTCATCTTTCAGAGAGGCTTTCCCTGGCTATCCAATGTAAAGGAGCATGGCCCGTTGTTATGTAAATACTGTATATCACATATTACCAGGTTGTATTTTTTTCCTGGTATTTGTCTCACTTTGAAGTTATACATTCATTTTCTTTACCATGTTTCCTCTCCAAACACTAACAGTAGAATGTAAACTTCAGAAGAGTAGGGTTTCATTTGTCTTGTCCGTCCTATAAGAACCAAATGCAGACCCTCAGAAAATGTGAAGGAAAATATGAATATACTTATACAACATCGAGGTTTACCTTGGTTGTACAAAAAAGAAAAAGTAACATTGTTGAATACCCTGTAACTGTACTGTATTAGGTTTTAATTACTTTATGTATATATCTTAATTTCTTCAGCAACCTTGGGGGAGATGGTTAATATTCTTAGGTACTGATGCCCAAGGAGTTAAGGAACTTGTCTGGGATCATAGGATTCTGAAGAATTCCAGCCTAGGCCATCCAACTCTGAAACTTCTACTGCTAATAATATACCGTTTTAGTTCCTTTCTTGCAGCTGGGACACAATATTCAACATCTACAATTTAAAGGAGTAGAGGTTTATTTTGGCTTACAGTTTCAGAAGTTTCAGTCCATGGCTTGGTAGAGGGGCTTACTGTGGAGGAAAGTTGCTTATATCCTGGTTGCCAGGAACAAGCGAGGGAAAGGAGGAGCCAGGGAGGGAGATACACCCTTCTGGCTTACTCCCCTACTGACTTGCCTTTTCCAACCACCACAGGTGGTGCCTGTGTCCCAGGCATGAGCCAGCAAGCAGGACTTGGTGGGTACAGTCCACCTCCTAATAGCACAAAAGCTGTGAAGCCATTAGTCAGTTAATCCACTGATGAATATAGTATTCCCGTAATCCAATCATCTTCCAGAACCCCATCTTGGGACACGTGAGGCTTGTGCAGGCCATTCTAGAGTTAAACCATAACATGCTAAACTCCCTTGCAGATTCATGGCATTTGAAATATCATTACATCTGTAGAATTTTTAACTATTTAAAGTGAAAGAATAAAATGATATTTCTTATTTCTGTGGGAAATGTAGGTGATAGTGGCCACCAATGTGGCAGAAACCTCCATTACAATCAGTGGCATTGTTTATGTGATTGACTGTGGCTTTGTGAAGCTTCGAGCCTACAATCCCAGGACAGCTATTGAGTGCTTGGTGGTGGTGCCTGTGTCCCAGGCATCAGCCAACCAGCGAGCAGGACGTGGTGGGCGCAACCGCTCGGGAAAGTGTTACCGCCTTTATACAGGTTAGTATGGCCTTCCTTTAGGGGTTTTGACTTTCTGACAATTAGCCTGGGTATTGGATAATATAGCACATACTTATCTCTTGTGGCTGAACTTAACAGAAAATCCACCCCTCCCTCCAGACCCCTGAGTGATCTGGCTCCCACTGCCTTCCTCACTTTAAGCACAGCTCTTTTTTCTTAAACTCATCATTGGCTAAAGCTGCTTCTGTAATTTCTCTTGTCTGCTGTCCCTGTTCGAACCTAATTTCTGGACCTAGGCTCTCCTGTGGCCATGTGGCCCTGTTGTGTGGTCTTTGTGTCTCAGATTCTTACCTTTCCCTATCTTAAAAGGTAGTTTTCTTATTCTGAGATCCCTGAATCCTTTGGGACCTCACACTGGGTTCTGATACATCTTTGCTGAGCTAGGATGAGGATCTGTCCTGAGACTCTTTCATAGCAAACAAATAGTTGGCAAACTCCTGCTCTATGAGAAACGCTGTGCTAGGTTCTGAGGAAGCAAAATTAAATCCTGACAAAGATAGTCCCTTGAGAAGCTTTCTTCCCAGTTTGGAAATAGCCTTAACCAGAGATCACATACCTAAACCTAAAGCTATCCACCCCCCTTTCTCTCTCTCTGTACTTTTTTGTGGATGGGTGGATGGACAAGCACTGAAATTTTTGCTGAGTATTACAGACGTAAGTTCCAAGTGATAGTAATTCCCTCCTCTGCCCAGTATCTATCTGCAGTTTCTTATTGTCTGGTGGTTTCAGCTCTGTTGTTTATCTCTTCCTTTTCCTTTTAGTTGCCATCATCTGTATTCAGTTCTTGCCATTTTTTTTTTTTTTTTTTTGTATCAGGGATTAAACTCAGGACCTTGCACTTGTGAGGCAGGTGCAGTGCCACTGAGCTAAATCCTTGGCCTTGTCATTCTTTCAGAGTCTTGAGAATGCTAGGCAAGTGTTCAACCAGTGAGCTACATTTCTCAGTCCTCATTCTTTCTCTTAGGGAGTGTTTACCGAGTACCTGTTACATGCTGGGCATATTGTCAGGGCTTGGGGCTCTAGAGCTAGGTAAGCCATAGCCTGTGTCCACGTGGTGGAGGTAGACCCACAAACATGGCAGCATGTTACCTTGTGATAGGGTCCCTGTGGAAGAAAGGGAGCCTTGGGGAGCACAGCTCATTGTCCCGCTGCTGGAGAGCTGGGGAGCATTTCACAAGTAAGATGGTGTTCAGATGTGATCTAGGATTTGAATCCAGATGTTTTCAAAGTCTTTTTTCCTTAGACAGTTTCACTGTGTAGTTTAGGCTGGCCTTGAACTCCCTATGTAGCTCAGGCTGGCCTTGAACTTGTAGTGATCTTCTGCTTCAGCCTCTTAAATGTTGGAATTCTGGGTGTGTGCCACCATGCCCAGCTTAGAGTGTGATTTTGGAAGCCCAATAGTTGTGCAGGTGAGGGGACAGTGTTGGAGAGTAGATTTCATCACACCAGGCAGAAGAAATAGGATGTATAAATACTTGGAAGGAAAGAAAGGGACAAGGTGTATATGTCACAGGGAGGAAATAAGCAGAACCCAGACCACAGAGGTAAGGCTGCCTCTGAAGGTGCTAAGAAGAGTGGCTTGAGAGAGGAAGAACCAATACTAAGGGCAGCTTGGAATGCAGAGGAGGAGGAAGTTTCAAGGTGTGTGTGTGTGTGTGTGTGTGTGTATGTGTGTGTGTGTGTGTGTGTGTGTGTGTGTATATATATATATATATTTAATGTACTAACATTTACATAAAATAACCATGTTAAAGTGAACAGTTCAGTGGCATTTTCTGTACTCAACAATGTGCAACCACTCCCCTTTTCTAGTATGAAAACATTTCCATTTCCACGCAAAGTCCTTTCTCATTAAGGAATTTCTTCCCATTCTTTCTTACCTCCAGTCTCTGACAATCTGTTTTCTGCCTCTGAGCCTCTGTGGATCTGTTCATTTAGTATACGCTATGTGATCTTTTATGTCTAAGTTTGTTTATTGGAGTTTTCTCTTTTTCGATTTGTGCAGTACTGAACATTGAACCCAGGGCCTTCGCGTTATTTTGGCTGTTGTCATTAGTATTGCTGGGAACATGCACGTACATGTACCCTTGTATACCTGTTTCTGATTCTTTTGGGGATTGCAGGATCATATGGTAGTTCTATTTTTAACTTACTAAGGAACTTCACTTTTAAAGAGGAAATGGCAGCTATCATTTCACGTGGCAAGGAAATCATATACTATGATGTGAACGTGAGGTAAGCAAGTGGATTTGGATAAAAGCCACTTGAAGCATGAATGGTTTGAATGGAAGTGCAGTTGAGGAAGGGCCATGGAATATTAATAGGTACATTAGTGTCCCACCTTCAGGCTGCAAAGTAAACTTTCAGGAAGGCCCTCCATAGGTCTGAGCAGGCAACAGCTTTATGACTTTCCTCAATCTATCATTAGTATCTATCCTACCCAGCTGAACCATGCTGCTTTTGTGTGTGTGTATGGTGGTGGTGGTGTTAGGGAATAAATCCAGCCCTTTTTATTTTTTAAATTTTAATTTTTAAAATTTTGAGACAGGATCTTGCTAAATTGCTAGGATCTTGCTAATTTGCCCAGGTCAGCCTTGAACTTATGATCCTTCTGTCTTACCCTCCCAGGATGTTGAAATTACAGGTATGTGAACTGCGTTTGTTGAATGTATTCTCTGCTTTCCCACATCCCCCCAACTCATGCCTTTGATTCCTTTCCTTAGGCTTTTTCCTCTTTGCCCAACAGATCCTCCTTATCTCTCAAGTTGTCTCAAATAGCAACTCCTTCTGCAGCTTGAGAGGTTCTTCCGTCAGCCATGCTTTCTTCCTTTCCCCAAGCCTCTGATTCTCTTTGGTAGGATCACTTAGTGGTGCCTAGTCTGTTCCTCCTTACAGGGCAGTTTCTGGTCTTGCTCAAACCCCTGGTATTACTGAAGCTCTTCAAGGGGATTGGCTGTTTCTCCTGCAGCTTCTGGCCCAGGAATGAGGCTCTTGAGGCCTCTGTGAAGTCAGTGCTTTGAACTCCTTGGAAGCACCTGCTTTCTGTGTCTTGTCAGCAGGTCACTTTCTCATCTGATGACCTTGCTTATCTCTTTGCTAGCAGTGGGTGTGCTTGTGAAGTGTGGTTCTTGTACCAAAAAGTCCTATCCAGGGTTGTTCTTGAAATTGAAGAGAATATCCATTCAGAACTTTGTGCTGCTGCTCATCATTTAGAAACTTCCTGTTAAATCAGTGCTTTTTGCAATTTATATCGCACAGTCCATATATTGACAGTTTTCTCAAAGAAAACGCTTTTGAAGTTCTTCAATGATAGTTTGTTCTATTTCTTCATGACATCTTTGTTTTTTTGTTTTGTTGTACTAAAGCTTTATCATCTCAGTAGAAGTCAGGCCACCCTGGTGTGGAAGGAGTGTGCTTACCTGTTAAAATGTTGACTGATGTGGGAGGATTTTGTGGGTGGAGCATTCTTTAATCTGTAAGCTTTCTGATACACAAAATGATTTATCTCTTTCTTCCTCTTCTCTCCCTTCCCCCACTGTTTTTAATCCAGGTTTTGTAAAAAGATTTCTCAAGTCTCTTTTCCTCCTCATCCCTTTTCCTGACTCTCCTGTCTTGGGATCTGTTTTTTCCTGTTTGAGGTCATCTTTTGTTCTGATGGGACATACAAGCATTCATTAATCTAGTTGGGTCAGCATCAGAGTCTGGGTGTGACATTGTTCTTGCCTCATTGACTTAAAAAATGAAGTTTGGACACTTCTTGCTTTTTATAAGATTTAGTCATTTGTTATTTTCTGTTTGCAATTTTTGATGATTTATTTTAAAATTGTTCTTGGCTTTTTTTTTTTTTTTTTTTAA